GGAGATAAGGCCAGGGTCCAGAAAGTGAAAGATCTTGTCTGCTAGCTTAAGGAGTTTAGGCTTTAGCATGAGATAGTGGGGGAGCATTAAGCAGTAGAGTAATAGGGTCAGACACCGATTTAGGAAGGTCATTCCGGGGTGCAGGGGTAGGGTTACCAAATGCATTTGTTGTAAAAGTCCCAGTGAAGGGTTATCTTCAAAGCAATTTTCTCTCTCTGAACCCCTGAGAAGTTGCCGTTAAAACCAGCCCTGACCCCAATGTTCACAAACGGCCACTAGCTGGCAGCAGTGTTCCAAGAAACCGGTGAGGGCGGGGGAGCGGGAGGCGGGGGGGGGCGGGCAAGTAGCAGCTTCCCTAGCCAACTCCTTGGGCTGATAGGATATGATCATCTCCCGGACAATATGAGTAGGTGGAAGGGCAATCTGTGTGGAGGGAACCCCAAAGGTCCATAGGGAAAGCAGTATGTGGAGGTCAGGGGACAGAGTGCTCAATGCTTGGAGGATGGGAGGCAGGGGCAGTGGTGAGAGGTGAGGCTGCATCTGAGAGCTAGAAATTGGTTGTGAATGGCCTTGGATTTCCAGGTTAAGGAATCTGGACATTATCCTGAGGGAACTGGGGACCCAGGGAAGGTTTTTACGAAGGAGAGAGACATGACTACATTTGCATTTTAGAAAGATCACCAAGATTGCAGTGTGAAGAAGGAAGGGTAAGAGACAGGAAGCAAAGAGAATAGTGAGGAGGCCCTTCAGTCATCCCAGGAGAGAGGAGTCGTCCGCACTAGAGCAAGCAGCAACTGCGAAAGACAGAAGGGGTCATATTTCTAGGAGAATTAAGAGAAATAAAAAAAAAAAAAGCATAGTGAGAAAGGGGGAGTTAAAATGTAGTTGTGACACAGGAGAATAAATATTCTTTCTCTGTTAGAAAATACACATTCCGAAACTGTTAGATTTTCTGCCTAAAACAACACCAGAAGAACTCAGATTATGAAGCTTCACTGAGTTTAAATTCTAGTTCATTAATTCAACAATCCAGACCAGTCTGTGGTGGGAACTGGGGACAAAGGAATGACTTTGCGGTTGCCGCCTCAGTCTGGCTGAAGGACAGTCAACTCCTGTACAGTGCGGAGAGCGTTCAGATGGAGGAAATACAGGACGCTATGGAGTCCAGCGGGAAAACCTGATCCAGGAGATTTCCAGGGAGAGACTTCTGAGCCCAGGATATCAGCTAAAGGATCTCCCAACATTGTCAGTGAACTTAACACTGGGTGCTGCCCCATTACCTATTTACCCCTTTCCGTCAGAAACCGTAGACGTCACCTAATGGGCGACAGGTATCCCAGTGAGCTACATTCCCCAGGATGCCGGCGCTAAACTAGCCACCAACCGCTCGCTCCCGGAGCCAACGAACCTCCCAGAAGGCCGACGTGCACAGCGTGCCTAAGCGAGGTTCCTGGACCGCCGCTGGGAGCGCCAGGCTGTGATGAGGGCGGGGCCTGGGCCGCGCCCCGCACCCGCCCAACGGCGAGGCTCTGATTGGTGGAACACCGCATGGCTCCGCCCCTCATGCGAGGCGACAAAAGGAAGCTAACGGTGTAGGTGCGCGACAGCTAAGCGGGGCCTGGAGCACAGCTCTTCGGGTCTGGGGAGGACGAACGATCGTCCTGGCCCTAAATCTATACCTGCGGTGGACTGCGATCCCTAGAGAAAAGGCGTCAAGGGACCGGAAGCTGTGCTGCCCGGAGCATTGTGGGCCATGGCTGGGTCCGGCCCGGACTCCTGGCGCCTGCGCGCACTTCGCTCGGCGCCCGCGTTGGTGCACACCCGGTGTTGGGAGGGATGCGAAGTGTGCGTTCTTGGGCCATTTCAGACCCGGATTTGGAACTCAGGGGCGGGGCGAGGCTGGGGCGTTGCCGGGCATTGCCCCGCTTTGGGGCCTCGGGCGCGTGGGTGCCACTGAGCGGCACGGGCTCAGCGCCATCTGCTTTGCATCCTTTAGCTCTGTCCTCTAGCGCACCGTCCCATTCCATGTCTGTTTGCTTTCTATCCTTTGGTAACAGCCGCCAGAATGCCACCATAGGATTTTAAGAGCCCCGACTGCAACCCAGGCGGCCTGGATCCCTGACTGTCCCCTTTGCATTCACCGTCCCCCCCTACCCATGTGAAACAGACTCCTCTCAACAGCGTTTGGGGGCACGTGATAAGGCCTCCTCCATCCTACTTAACCTCTCTTCTGGCCCAAGTCCTTTATCAGTTTAACTGCCCTCCCCTCAGGTTTAGGCAAGGCATAACCCTTCTCTGAACCTCACACCTCTGTTGCAAGATGGGGATGGCTAACTTTTCAGGTTCTTTTTACCTAATACTGCACACAGCACATAGGCACTTCCAATCACTAGGTACCCGTTTTCTTTTTTCACCCTCTCCTTAAACCCCGTTTCATGCCAAGATTTGTTTTGCCTGTGTGCAGTTTTGAAGGCTACAACAGGCAACTTCCCTCCAGATTTTGCCAGCTGCGCCTTTAGGAACAAATATCCCGGGTGCTTTATTTCATCAAATATTTGAGTGCCTGCTGTATGCCAAGCCCTGCATTTAGTGCCGAAGACCCAGATGAACCAAATAGACTTCTCATTAAATCGAGACTAGCTGGAGAAATATGGACTTGTGATAAAGAGTGGAAGGGTATAGTGCCACAGGAAAGGGCCAGAGGAAGTGCTCTTGAAATTCAGGGATGAGAAAGGGATGTCAAAAGTCGAAAGTCTTTAGAAAGGATATATAAGTTGGAACCAGAGGAGGTATTTCCAAATGAAATTAATGGGAGAAGGCAGCTTGAGAGCTCACTGGACCCATGCAGTAAAAGTGGTTCATTTTGTTTGTGTGGAGTGGGGGTAATGGAATTGGGTATGGGGTAGGGGTTGTGTAGTATAATTACTAAAAGCATGGTTTTAGCATATTTGCCTTGATGCTTCAGGCACTAACCTCTTTGAGCCTGTCAAATGAAGATATAGTACCTACCTCACATTCAAGATAATACATACCAAGGCTTGAGCATCAAAGTTAGCACATAGCTATCATTTTTTGAGTGCCAGCTATATCATATGTGACAGAAAATGAGAATGCCTTGAATGCCAAGATATTCAGATTTTCTCTGGGTAACAGGGATCATACAGATTCTTGAGCAATAGAGGGTGTTGATCAGAAATGCTTAGAAGGGACTTGACAGACAAAAAGTCTAAAGCCACTATAGCAGTTGTGACTGCTTGCTTCTTTTCTACTCCATCCAAATCTCCCTACCCTTAACCCACAAGTGTTTCAAGACCATGTTTCTAAAAACCAGCCATTTATATCTGTTTAGGTAACTTACAGAGGGAGTAAGGTGGTATATTTACAAGTTGGTTTGTCCAGATATACTATAACTTAGTGTCTGTATTTAATATTGACAACCAAAAAAATATATAAATATCTTCCATCTATACACAGCAGGGCAGGAGTGTCCATGTGTTCTTGCGTAGTAAGTTTTCAGCCTCCCACGGCCCTCCTCTCATGGTGATCATCTGGCCCTCAGTGCAAAGGAGACTAGAACCTGGCAGCCCATTCTGACCCTTCCTCGCTCCTCCCTGCACTCCAGTGCTCCCAACGGGTCTCAGGCAAGGAAAGGTTAATTTGAGTGGTTGGGTAGGAAGAGATGGGAATAGGCGAATCCTAATGGAGCCTGACTCCTATGGTGGGGAGATCCAGGCCTGCAGAAGTGAGTGGCCACATCCCCTCTAGGGGTAGAAGCCTCGTAGTTTGTAGTTCGATTAGTGTGTCTTTGCTCATAGGTCCAGCCCTACAGATTAGCTTGGCAAAGAAGGCAAGTGTGTCTAGGCAGGATTTGGTCCCCACCCTCAGGCACTGAGCCATTCAGGGTGAAGCCTGGAGTGTGGATATAGGAGATTCTGGCTGATACAAAAATAATAACAAAATCAGTAATAAAAAAAATTATAAAATCTGTTGCTTGTCTGAATAGATCTGAGCAACAGTCTTGCTTTTGTTAAAATCCTGGAGCTGTTAAAGTCCTGAATATTTTTCTGGACATCATTGCTGGCTGAAGAAAGGAGCCCCAGGCCCGGCTCCACTGAAATCTGTCAATTTGGAAGCCTTGTCCAGCTGCCTATACTCCGAGATCCTTGGGGCTGCTGGGAACAAGCCGGGCTGGTGATGTGGGGTGCCTCACACTTGAGAATCAGCCCCCAGGGGGTGGAACAGCTCCTCAGGTGTCTTGTCACTTTGGCTGGCTCCCCCCTGCCGGAAACCGGAAGCAATCTCATCGAAGGTCCGGCCTTTGGTCTCGGGAACTTTGAAGTAGGTGAAGATGAAGAATAGAACCAGGAGCACGGTGAAGATGATGAAGACATAGGGACCACACAGTTGCTGAAAGACACACACACCCACTTGGTTGGAGTCCTGACCCTATATTCTGGCTTCAGGATCTTAGATAAGTCACTTTACTCCTAAGCTTCTGATCTGAAAAAGGGGACACCCATCTACAACCCAGGAGTGCTAGGATGATTAAATGAGAGTCTACCTGTACCTGGCTTGTAATATTATCCAGGTAACAGGTTTCCACTGCAAAGCAGAATGAAGACAATTTGAATTTACTCTGAGCCAAGTAAAGAACCCTGGGGTTAAGGTCAAGGTTCCTAGCTGTTTAACCTGGGCTTCTGAGTCTTATTCCTCCTCAGCATGATTCTACTAGGAACAGCTGGGAGAGCACTTCTCAGGCAAGAAATGGTGCATGTGAAAATAATGTGGGGTCTTACCTCCACATACTGGAAGCACATGCCCACAATGAAATTTGAGGTCCAGTTGGAGAAGCCAGCAACAGCAATGGCAGCAGGGCGAGGACCTTGGCTAAAGAGTTCAGCCACAATAAACCACGGGATGGGGCCAGGACCCACTTCGAAGAAGGCCACAAAGCCAAAGATGGCTACGATGCTC